GGGGCGCGCTCCGCGCTCCGTTTTTTTTTTGTTACGTGTTCCATCCAGACATCCGATGTCTTGACCTTTGTCAGTGCAGTCCTCGGAAGCATAGCGAACACGCATGCCACATTCATCGGTCAGCGCCTCCCCCTTCCCCCCGATGTTCAAAGTTGGCGGTGGGTCTGATGAGTTGCATGTCGACCGCAGTCTCTCCCGCACGTGACAACTTTGAGCTTTGGGGAGCGGGGGAGTATCCACTAATTGTTTCCCCCTACCATGCGGGGTCCCCAGACGTCCCGACGCTTGCCCTCTAAGATCAGCTCGAAACCGCCATCATGATATGTTCAATACGATCTCGACCGCTTCCCCGAAGGTAATTGTAGCTTTATAGCTATACGTGCCAGATCCATGCTTGCTGGCCCTGAGGCTTGCCCCAGATCCTAGGATTGAACAGCTCGCATCGTCGAAGGTCCCGATTGAACGAGGTCCCGGCGATCCCGCGATCGAGGACAAGCGCCAGGCCTGAGCAGCTCACATCGTCGGAGGTTGCGGATGGAGCGAGGTCCCCGCGATCCCGCGATTGAGGAAAGACGCCAGGATTGAACGGCTCACATCGTCGGAGGTCCCTGCCCCCCTCCACAAAGACCCCCGACGTCATGATTTCTCCTTTACGTCAACCCCCCGAGGTCTCCACTCATTCCCCGGGACCGGTCTTTCTCTTCCTGAGTCGTTCTTCGACGGCCCCGAGGCCCCGTAGAAGGGCCCCCCGAGGCCGAACCTGGCGAAAAGCTTGCCGTCGTGAGTTCCTCATGACTTCGACGGGGTCTGAGCAGCCCGTGCCGCCGCCAGGATGGTCCAGGAGCGCTACGCCGGCTCCCGGGCCGGCGCGCCCCCTCCGGCCGGCGTGCGGGGCTCGGCCTCCACATGCACGTCGACGCCTCTCGCGGGGAGCCCCCGCGGCCGTCGTCGTCGTCGTCGTGCCCACAGCCGGCCTCCAGCCGGGCCATGGGGCCAAGGCTCGGCACGAGGAGGACGGAAGAGGACGGTAAGAGGGAGGGAGGAGGAGAAACCAACGAGGAAGGAGGAGGAGAATAGGAGGAGGAGGAGGAGGAGGAGGAGGAGGAGGAGGAGAAGGAGGAGGAGAATCGGAGAGGGAGGCGAGTGAGATAGGAAGGATGAGGAGAACGAGGGAGGAGGAGGAATATGAGGAGGATGAGGAGAGGAGGGCGGGCTATTCGAGGCCTCCTGCGAGGGGGTGGGGGGTGGGGGGGCGTTCCCCACCGCCCGCGGAATGGGGAGCCGGCCGCCGCTGGTGGCGCGCGTACATCGTACAAAACAACAACCACCAGAAGGTGAACATATGGGAGAGGAGGATAAGGAAGAGGAGGAGGAAAAGGAAGGGGAGGAGGAGGAGGAGGAGGAGGAGGAGGAGGAGGAGGAGGAGGGAGAGGGGAGGATGAGGAGAGGAGGAGGAGGAGGGAGGGAGAAGGAGGAGAGGAGTTTGAGGAGGAGGAGGAGGAGGAGGAGGAGGAGGAGGAGGAGAGGAGGGAGGAGGAGGAGGAGGGAGAGGAGGGAGGACGGTAGGAGGGAGGAGGGTAGGAGGGAGCGGAGGAGAGATAGGGAGAGGAGAGGGGGGGAGGAGGGAGGGGGAGGAGGATGAGGAGGAGGGAGGAGGAGGAGGAGCAGCAGGAGGAGGAGGAGGAGGGCGGAGGAGGAGGAGGAGGAGGAGGAGGAGGAGGAGGAGGAGGAGGAGGGAGGAAGATGATGATGAGGAGGAGGAGGAGGAGGAGAAAGAGGAAGAGGAGGAGGAGGAGGAGGAGGAGGAGGAGGAGGAGGAGGAGGATGGGGTGATCATCGAGGCGAGGAAGATCATCCATCAGCTGACCAACTACAGGCTGGACATTCACAGCATCGGCCACGAGGAGTGTTCAATTCTGTAGAGACTGCGAGCAATATTTCGAGACGATGCTCGCGTAGAGAAGTACGAACACGTGCAGCTCTCAAGAGGACGGGCTACTTCACCCGACGCGGGCAACATCCACACCTCAACGGCATCGTGACCATCGCTACGACCGCCTTCATATGGCATCCTCTACAGGACGGGATGAGCTGCGTAACGTGCAGCCTGAGGAAAAGGGCGTAACGTTCAGCCCGAGGAAGACCTGCGCAACAGGTAGCTCACGTACAGCACCAAGTACGCCACCAGGACCGACACCAGGAAAGATCCAACCGAGCAGCCCGAAAGGGTTATTCAGTACGTTGTCGTCGCCGGGTGCCAGTGGACAATGGAAGCGCCGCCTACGACGAGTGCGATTACGGCCACGCCGCCTCAGACGAGTACAAGTGCGACAGTGTGTTCGATGACGACCTGTACTCTTACGACCCCCAGGACTGCGACGGACCGCAGGGCCACGACGGCCGCCAGGACCACAGGGACAATGATAACGTAGTTCCTTTGAACTTTTACAGCCTCTTGCAGAGCTTCCAGGGCCACCATGCGACCCTCGGGGGCCACAAGCTGAGCTACGAGGGCCACGAGTGCCACCTGGAGAGCAACAGGTCCCACGCGCCGAGCTACGAGACCCGCCGGCAGAGCCACGAGAGCCACAAGCTGAGCTACAAGGACCGCGAGCTGAGCTACGAGAAGCACTACGAGAGCGACCAGCTGAACCACGAGAGCTGAGCTACGAGAGCCACAACCAGAAGCACTACAGGACCCACTTGCCGCTCTGCGCGGGCCACCTGCCGAGCCACGAGAGCCACGAGCTGATCACCGAGGGCCGCAAACTGAACCACGATTGCCACACACAAGATTACAATAATTACCAGCCAAGTGGCGAGGACTGCCTGCTGCGCTACAAGGGCCACCAGATGAACCACGAGGCCCACCAGCTGAGCTACCCGGAGGCACCAGTTGTGCTACGAGCACTGCAGGCACAGCCACGAGAGCTACGAGGGTCACCTGCTGAGCTTCCAGGGCGCGAGGACCACAAGCAGGACTCCGAGACCCACCAGCTGAATTACGATGGCCACAGACATATCTACGTGGGCCATTACCTGAGCTACGCGGGCGACGAGCAGAATTACGAAGGCTTCCCGCATAGCTACCAGGGCGACGAGCTGAACTGCGAGGTCCACATGCTGAGCAAGAACAACCACCAGCTGAGCTACGAGGACCACGTGCCCAGCTACTGGGACCACGCGCTGAGCTACCAGGGCCACAGGCAAGGCTTCGAGCAGTACAGGCAGGGCTCCGAGGACCGCAAGCTGAACTACGAGAGCTACGAGGGCCACCTGCTAAGCTACCAGGGCCGCAACCACAGGTACGCGGACTACAGGAAGAACAACTAGAAGAGCCTCATACAGAAGTATTAGGGCGACGAGCCGGACTGCAAGGCCCAGAAGCAGAACTCCGAGAGCCACCGACTCAGCTACAAGGGCCACCTGCGGAGCTACGAGGGCCACAACGAGAGACCCGCAGAGCCACGAGGACTGCGAGCTGAGCTACGAGGACCGCAGGCACAGCTACCAGACCCACGAGGGCCACCTGCTGAACTACGAGGGCCACATCCAGAGCTACGCGGACCACGGGAAGACCTACCAAAGCCTCCTGCGGAGCGACTGGGGTGACGAGCTGAATTGCAAGGACCTCAGGCAGACGGCGGATACCTACCAGCTGAGTTACGAGGGCTTCAGCCGGAGCTACACGGGCTACATTTTGAGGCACGCGGACCACAAGCAGAACTACTGGAGCCGCGCGCAGAGCTGCCAGGGCGACGATCTCCAACTGCTGAGCAAGGACAGCCACCAGCAGAACTACGAGGACCACCTGCCGAACTACTGGGACCACGCGTTAAACTACTAGGGTCACAAGCAGGGTTGCGAGGACCACAACCTGAGCTGCGGGAACCACTAGCAGAGCTACCCAGGCCACAAGCTGAACTTCCAGAGTCTACAACACACCAACGAGGGCCAAGGACCACAGGCACAACTCCGAGGGCCACAAACAGGGCCACGCGGACCTCCAGCGGAGCTTCGACCTGGCGTGGCCGTGCGCCTCGTCGGCACCAACGATCGCCCGCTACTCAGAAGGCGGGAGGGTGCACTCGGGCTGTGTGATGAGGCAGCAGACCGCTTGGCATTCGAGGCGGGCTCGGAGCACATCTGTATTAGGACAACCTCCAGGGGACCCGTAGGTCTAATGACAAAAAGGGCGCTCGGGTTTGCGTTCCAGCAGGCGGCTCACAAGTACAGCTACCAGGGCCTGGGGCACATCGGCATGGTGTTCCCGAAAAAATGTACGACGGGGCAGCCGCCGAAAGGCAACCAGGCGTAGCCGCCTATTTCGAGCCGGTCCTCGCCGTCGAGGCGGCCTCCGACATGGCCTGTAACCAGATGGTGCCAGAAAGCACAAGGCGAGACCAGCATGCCTGAAGCCAGAGAAGATTACGAACCTACAGCGCGACGGACACGGTATACAAGCACAGCGTTACACACAAGATGCGACGTCTATTTGAATTGAGCGCTGTATTGCAACATTATTTGAGTTGCCCGGATGCTCCTCCCATCCCTCCCTTCCCTCCGTGGGCCTCAAGAGATATCAGGTTAAGTGTTGGTGTTCTTCCTTTCCTCCCCCCTCACTGTCGAAAAGGGTCCGAGCTCTGGTGTGGGCTCGGCGGCTCCGCGGGCTGCGCGCGGGCCAGCGGAGTCAAGGGGGCGCCCGACGGCGCTGCGCAGCAGCAGGACGAATCGGAGGAGGTGGAGGAGGAGGAGGTAAACGGGCGAGCATTTGAAATATTTCTGCTCGTTTGAATCTTCTGAGTACGGACAGAGTGATCGCGCTGGAGGAGGACGAGCGCCACAGCAGGAGGCTCTCTAAGGGCATCTACGCGTGTCGATGCAAGCGCAAACATATGCAGGTAAACCTGTGGCAGATTAAGGGCGAGACCCCCGCCCCCGCTTGCGTTATTTACATATCTCCATCGAAATCAAAAACCTGCCGCAAAGGGGCCATGCTTGTCTGAATGCAGAGGCAAGTCCCAGGCCCTCCACAGAGACCCCCGCAGGAAGGACGATACTGATCATATCAATGCAACGACCTTCCCTGGATTTCAGCCTATGGGGTGAATTACCGGGCCACGGAACCAGCAAACCCAGATCCATTGCGAAAAGCTACCTCAGGTTACGTGGTCGGAAGGCCTATAGGGACCCTTGATCGAATAAGGCATGTGGAAGGATGCTGCGGCTTGGTGAAAACAGTTAACATGTGCGATCTGAAGTGCTTTCGGGCGACCGGAACAGCCCAAGCCTCGATCAAGCCGTCGGAGTGCGGGGGGCGCCCCCGCCCACCTCAGGGTGGCCTCCGGAGGGCCCGGATGCTTTCTCAATAAATTCCGGGGGGCTGGGGAGTGGAGGGGGCCTCCGCTCCGTGGGGCCTCATCCTCTCCGCGGGGCCTCCCACAAAGCAAAACTGGTGGAAGTCCCAGGTTCCCTGTCGGAGCCAGCGCGAGGGAGGCCTGTGGGCCTGCCACCCCGCCGCCGTCGCCGCTGCCGCTGCCGTGCGGGAGGACTTCCCGGACGCCGCCGCTGTCTGGCACGGTAGCCTTGCGTCGTGTCGACCGGCGGCGACACCGCCGAGGGCTTTCAAGGTTGAACGCCGCCAGTGGCCCAGAATCGTCCTGTATGGAACGAGCCGGCGATCGTGATAGTTAAAGATTGAACGAGCCAAGCGGTGTCAGAAACCAACGCCTGGGTCGTCACGAAACGAACCTGCCGTATGTAACATGAGGCAGGCGTTGAATTATAAGCACGACGTGGCTCGCGGTGGCAAGCCCCATGTGTGGCGCAACAGAGCAGCGGCTAGCGGCGGCAATCCCCAATCATGGAGCACCCAGGTGGCGGGCA